AGTAAATTCTGGGAGAGGACACAGGAAATAGTATCAACACTCAGAAAATGGGTGTTGGAAGGCCGATTCTCTACACTCCCTCCTAACTCACGAATTGTCCTTCACGAATATCCTTCAAATGAATTCAAATTCCAAAAATTATGGTTATTATTGGCCCCACAAATTATTTTAAAGACAACATTCACTATAACCAAAATTTTAGAATTAGGCACCATCAAAATCAGTTTACTCCTTCTCAAACTAATGATTTTTCCAGAGGTTCAATTAATATGCCTTAACCACACGTAGTTTCAAGATATTTTCCTACAAAAAGGCAAGTTTTTGGCCACCCATACCGTGCAACCTGCTACCAGCATATTTACAAGAAACTCAAAATTTTAAACCATTTAATTATAAAACAAAACAATGGATAACTGCAACTGACAGCTTCTAAGTGATCTTATTGACTGAAAGTTCTTAAAACAGATGGGTCCAAATTTATATCTTAACTGATTGTATCTGTTAAGCTATATTTTTTTTATACCTAGTTATTCCACTCACAAGCATCTTTAAATGCTTCAGGCAATTATGTTATGAATGAAATTACTGTGGAAAAAATCAGTGAACGCATATTTAAAATGTTTACTAAAAAACGATTTTTTAAGTGTCTTGAAAACTGTGCAAATTCGGCTGAATGTTCATATGAAAATCTTGTTTTTGAACGTTATTTCCGGACACACTGTACAGTTTCCCGTGCCGCTGATTTTTACGACCGGCCTGGCGTTTACAGTATGCGAGGAAACTATACACAGAACTCGCTTATTGTTGCTGTCGTAATAATAAAAATTCGGCCTCACTAAAGCAAACAATGCCGATTCAAATTAGTGCCCGTAAATTTTGATCAAAGCGGTCGTGTTGGTTTTATTAAACCGACCTTCTGCGTTTTCGACGCCCGAAAAAATTAACCATTTTTAATTATAATTGGAAGGCTCAGTTCGAATTAAACACGAGAATCACGATCATAATAATTATAATTAACGATGCGTGTGGCGTAAAAAATCAGGTGCTTAATTGCCGGTTTTCACGGCCGTCGACGGTCGTAATGACTGCAAATTGATTATAAATTGTTTAATAAATAATTTTTTAGATTGATTGCGATTTTACAGGGTGTAGGAGCAGTGTAACATTCGACAGTACCTTAAAATCAACAGTGAGTCGTATATCGCCATATTTGGAAAATATTTACGCACCTGATACGTTCCCAATTCTGTGTATATTAGTACGCAAAGTTCTGAGCAATTTTCGTTAACATTTTCCTATGCCTATCTCTCTTCCTTAATTCGGAAACAACTACTTTCATTTATTTTTTTACAGAAAATTAGCTACAATAAGATTTTTAAATTTTACAATTGTTTTTAATGATCAATACGTGACTTTGATAAGTCATACAGGGTCCCAAGCAATACTCGATCAACCATTTTCAATAAGAAAGAATTTGGTGTATTAAATTATTTATTTTTATTTAGTGTCTCTTCAGCATATATTGTTTATTTATATGTATTTAAAATATTTCATTAATAATTTAATTATCCCAAAAACTCAACACGGTTTGCAAAAGAACTTTGGGACATCTGTTGCCCTTATGAATGTGATTGACGATATTTTGCGTACTTTTCATATAAAGATGAACACTATCGTTAGCGTGTTAAATTATTCACAGACCTTTGATACGGTAAATGATTTACTTCTGGTATCTAAATTACATTACATCTGGGGTTCCACAAGGTTCAATCTTAGGACCCTTACCCTTGCACCCAGATAAGAAATGCTTCAAGAAAGATGTAAAAAGTAGAACAAGCGATCGTAACTCGTAACGTGAAACGAATGCAAATCAACAGAGAAATATGACGAAAATTTCTTCCAAAATTATTCAAAGATATGCAAAAAACACACATGTGCACAGTTTTATAAAACGGATCTAAAGCGATCCTTTAACTTTTTGTTTTAATGTTGTGGAGAATAGAGTTGAAATATTTTACTAGAGGCTGTTGTGAACGGGTAATTTTAAAAACAAATGTACAGGGTGGCCGGTTAAAGAGGGATCTGCACCTTATCTCCAAAGCTTGCAGTATTATCCAAATACAAAACTTGTTCCCACTAAAATAATCTTTAACTTTTTTGTATTATTTCATATTTCACTCAATTACATACAGAGTGATCAAAAAAAGATACATTTTTAAAATTAAACACGCTAGATTTTTAGTTAATTTTTAAATGCCCTTTTAAAAGACAAATACAACGATATATATAAATATCTATATAACGTTACGTTTAACATTTTTCTGCATTACATATTTTAGAAAATAATACTTTTCGTAATGCAATGTTTTACATGTTACTTCAATCGATTTTTGAAAATCAAACATTGCGTATATTTTTTTATTATTTTATTTTTGGATAGCCCTTTAAAAGTCGAATCCAACTATATATGTTATAAAATATTGACTGGTGATGCACCGTTCGAAATTTATTCACGACTTTTATTAGAAAACAAATGAATTAATAAATATTATTTCATTTAATCATTTTCATTTAAGTAATTTTAATTTAAAGAGTGGTTCGGTATTTGGTAAGATTTATTGAGCTCCTTGTTCGGAATACTATTCCTGAAATAGAACATTCAAATTTAATTTGGCGCTCCTTAAGTGCTGATATCAATAATATTTTATACAATAGATTGGGTAAAATGGCACCATCTTGTGGCCAGCAAGGTCAATGGACATTTTGTGGGACATTTTAAAAGAGATATACAAAATATACAAAAATAAGTCCACAGACATTTTTGCAGTACAACAAATTTGATATGCAACTAACCAATTAAATGCTATCAATTATATATTAAATCAAATATAATTAAATCATTTGGAAGTAATATACACGCATACCACTGGCATTATACAAAATGGAAAATTTAATATAAAATTATTAATTTTGTTTTTCAAGAGTTTTGTCAAGCCAATTAGAATTTGAATATGAAGGAGGGACATGATCAACCCGTCTCATAAATATAATCACTTTAAAGCAGCATCGTTGCTATTGCCAAGTGAAATGAGCTGAGATTCAGAGTTGTTAAGGGGAAGTTTATGTGCAACGGAGATGTCACTTACAATCTTTAGATCACGAGATATAGTTGAAAGTCATCTTAAAATTGGTGTGAGTTGAGATAGTTAAGATAACGACCGAAGTCAGTGGTGTAAAGCGAGAACAATAATGGTTCCCGTAAGAAACCATTCGAACCACGACCAAGAAAGAATCCGCTTCGAAGAAATACTCCCTGACTCCTACAATGTAAAAAAATATAACCCAAAGAATTTATATTTGATGCAGAAAGTATTATGAATAACTCTGCTATAATCCAAAAGACTAGATTTGTTTCATCCGTAGCAAGTATGATATCATCAGATACTATTAAGAAGGCGGGTGTTGTGCCACGTTGAGCTATAAAATCGGATTGCGTGGAAGGAATTATTCACTTCTCAAAGAATAATCGCTCCTTTGCTCGATCATGTCTTTCTCCAGAATCTTAGAAAGAACTGGGGGAAAACTTATGAACCGAATGTGAGAAAGCTCATACAACTACTCGGGACTATTATTTTATCCACTTATCTGTCTACTCGGATTTTTTATATTGGTTTTTTTTTTTTCATTAAAAAAAATCTCTTAATAAAAACTATGTGATTTTGTTTTTGTTTGTTCGGATTGTAAGTTAAAAAACTAATTTTACCATTAAATCCAACAACAGATTCCTCTACCGATATATCTCTTGATGAGAAAAAATGTTCTATGAATTGCTTTTCCAAATAATCTAAATAGTGACTGAGTTTCTGAGTTCAAGCCCAAGAATTTGGTCATTTAGATGGTTTTCATGCAAATGGAGCATCCAAAAACTTTGTAAATATCGTTCTCTTCTAAACATGCAACTAAAAAAAGGTATTTTGGCGTTAAACTGTTGGATATTAGATTTATCGTACCCACATTTAAGACAACCCCAATAAATGCGGTAAATTCTTCTACTGTACTATCTACCCACGCGTGCCATGTAGAACGTTTTGACAATCTCCTCTGTGCTATCTTATGTCTAGCATAGTCATTTGTTTTTTTCTATTTTTATTATGAGCTCATCGGTGAAAAAGAGCTTGAAAAAATCTATAGGTTTTGTACAAGTATCCGGTATTTATGGTCCTACCATTTTATGACCAGAAGTAAATAGAATTCTGCCTGGTTCCTGTTCGTGGCATGTGAATTCCTGCCATGGACCGAAATTACTAGGTTGTGTTATATTCTTGTTTTCCCCACTGCTGCTTCAACTAGATGGTAAACGTGTGGTTCTCCGTCTTTTAGTGACTATAATATCACTACCTCTACTAGAGTCACTTTCGTCACTAATATTATCACTATCCAGTCTATCATTTTCAGGAGCCTTAGTATAAAGTTCATAGTCACTACTTTCCAATTTCGTCTTGTAACAATTTCTTGGGCATTTGATTCGAAAAATACACCGGAAAAATACACCGAACTTTACCCAATCGCGTTAGTTATAAAACTGAGTAATATTTAAAATGCAAAAATGGTGCACATGTGAACTAAAGTGGTTGTATAAAATAAATATCATGTTATCTTTTATTTTGACGTAAACAGGTCCTCAACGAAGGTTCAAGAAAGCAATTTTGAAATATTAGAAATGAGCGTAGGGGATGACAGACCGACCAACCTGCTGTAATAACACATGGTGTACCGCCTATACGGCGACAGACGAGCGTTAAGGTTAGACGTATTGTAGCGATTATACGGCGGCATACGAGCGGAAAGGGTTAGTATTACGTAACTAACCGAAACTATACAAGAAGTAATAAGTTTTTGTAGGTCCAAGCTTAAGCTAACCTGGGCCAAAATTGCAAGGGACATTTTCGGAGTGAAAATGCATTGGTTAAGAAAAGAAAAGGGTGGACTACGGGCCTTACCTCCAAGTCTATAATTTCCCTGGGATTGGGCGCTTTGGGCAAATCCACAACGTCCGGAATCCTGACGTTGTCCTTCCTGACTTCCGACTCCACGAACCTCAACTTCCTTTCCATCTCGTCGCATCTGCGCACCTCGTTGACGAATTTACGTTGGAAAACGTTTACCTCGGCGTTCAACTGTAAATCGGAGAGATGGGCGCATAATAGATTCGGGGATTTTTGTTTCGGTGACTCACGTCTCTGAACTGGACGCAGCCCGTTTCGCCCATTTCCGAAATGGCAAAATAGGCCGCTTCCGGCTGTATGAAGAGTTGGGCCAACGCCATCTTCTCGCTTCTGAACATGGCGCCCATCTTGGCTGAGTCGCGTGGTTACTGTCTATCTGCAAAAAATTAACGCTTTAACTGTCTGTTTTAAGAGAAAAAAAAAGTTTCGAAATTTTGTAAATTCCTTTTGGTTATAAGAGATAGAAAAAAGCTTTCAAATGAAAGTTTTATATATTCTAAAACTTGATACGAAGAAAAATAAAAGATAACAAGAAATAATTTTTTCCATATAAAGTTATATTTTTATATGCATATTATATCAATGAAAAAAAAAAAGATTTTCTCCTGCTTTCAAAAAATATAGGGTTTGTTCAATTTGTTTTAAGTAAACCATAATCCACTATAGCCATGGCGGCCAAAAAAACAATGCTAAGTGACATTTTGACGTTTAGCAGACATAAAAAAGCACTGCGTTGTTTATTAGCGAAAATTATTTTTATATAAATGAAAAAAATGAAGTTTAATTATTATAACGAAAATCAAAAATTTGAAATTATAAGATTATCTTATAGAAATAATAACATATCTGAAGCAAGAAGAGAGTACAGGAAATTATTTGACGAACTTGTGCAATAGAAAGAAGAAGAAGATATATAGAAAAGAAAATTAGAGAAAGAATTCCCAAAACTGCAAATCTAAGTAAATCATAACTGCAAACAATATACTATACAAACATAAATTATCTTATAAATGTTCAATGTTTCCTCCATTATTTTCAATACACTCGTGAAATCGGGACAGTTTGGTGGCCACAGAACTGCTGCGTGTCGTCTAATCTATGCTTGGAAACGGTCATTAAAAAAATTCCGAGAGTACTGTACCTAAACACCTTAGAACATGATACCCGTGTTTATTAGACATTCGGAAATGAAATAAGGTTATTTCAACTCAGGACGGGACTTAGTTTTCTTATTATTTGCAATTAAATGCTAAGGTAGTAGTAGGCATTGACCTCATGTTTTTCATTTGGAATATTATGGAATTGATGTCTTTTATCCTCCAAAACATTCTCGACTTAATATTGCAAAAATGTAGGTATCTTTTTTATATTTTCTTAATCTCTGCGATACCTTGAGGATTCTGGCTACCCCAGAGATGAATATTGTGCATGTTAAATATTCCAGCACTTGTATGAATCGCCTCTTCTTGAAATCGTCCCATCATATCTTCGCAAAACAGCAACCTTTTAATCTCACTGGTTCTTATTGCTCTGTCAATTTCTACCAGTTTCCGTAGAGGTTGTAGGATTTTCTATGAATTAATATAGGACCTCTTTTTTTAATGAATAAATATTTCTTGTAGTCTCTTCTTGCTTGAAGTATTTTGTTATTATTTTTATGAAATATTTTATGTTTTGCTCCATATAAATTTCGAAAAGCAAAGAAAAAACTATAAATCTTTCATTAAAAAAACATTTTTCTATCTTTTTAAATAAAAAACTTAAGAGAGGTGGCGAATAACTTTTTATAATTATTTTCATTTTATATAGGTTGTCCCAAAAGTATTAGTTTCGGTTAGCTAGTATCAAAGTTGTAGTTTTTTTCAAATGGAACCCTTTTTTTATTATAGCATTTTTGTATTTTAATAAAATTTTTGGTACCTAATCCTTTAGGTTTTTTAGACAATTTAAGTCTTGTGAAAATGCAATCCAATTTTAATTTCCCTAAAACATATGAAGAATGTAAATTATGTAAATGCAATCTACAGTAGTAAGTAACATCAATCGCAACAATGTCTCGATCATAAAAAGCTTCCCATTGTATACAGCTTGGGCAAAAACTAATCCCAATCTAATAATAATTTTAAATTAATTTACAATCTAATGTACTTTTCAATTACCTATCCAATATTGTAAAGCAAGGCAAGGTTGCTGCATCTCATCAACCCTCATTAATATTTACATTGACGATATTATTAAAATTCGAAATCCGTATAGACAGAAATAGCACACTCAATATAATTTTATACGCAGTAGATCTGACGCTTATAGCAGAATGGCGAGTTACTATATACAGACTACAACTATCTGCGTATGATTTATTGTATATTTATTCTATGAAAATTCAACAGAGCAAATAAAAATTATGACCCTTATAGAGACGCAACGTTCAAAAAGCGTCATAAATAATAAGGTTGTGGAATAATTATGTTTTTTGAACTGAATAAATTTGCCAATGTATGTGGAACAATGACAAGAGTGATAAAAAAAACAAAACTGGGAGAGCATCACAATGAAAATGAAGCTGTACAAACTCTTACACTTAAAAAATATGGACAAAAAAAAAGAAGAGAGCAGAATCCACATTTAATAAATGAAATTTGTAAGAAGAGAAGAAAAGATGAGCATCGAACGAATTCCTCAAAAGATATAATTAGTTTCGAAAAATCGATGAAATCGATTCTTTTCAAAAGAATACGCACTCCTCGAGATCTCGGTAAGGGCAGGTACAGAACGAACTACCGGACGGTTTGAACTAGACTGTTCAAACGTTGCTCCTTTTTAACAGTCTACGAGATGCCCAAGATGTCTAAAAATTGGCTCGATCAAACCTTGGCGGCCATCTTTTTTTTTTTCAATTTTAGATTGTTTTTTCGACATCGCTGTCTGTCTTTCGAATTGATATTTTGCATACGTATAGAGTTAACCTCCCTAACGGAACCTATTGAAATTAGGGGAGCTAGGGAGTCGGGAAATTTGAAAATGAAATTGAAAAAGAAAAAAATCATTTCTCTAGAACGGTTTACATGCTAGAAAAAATTCTTAAACGAAAAGACGCAAAAGGTTCGGCTCCATAAAGTCTTATTCTTTATAATTTTTAAAAAAATTGCAATGCAAATTGGCTTTAACAAAAAGACTGCCCTTTAAGATGTCAGTTTCTTTTACATGACGATATAGCCCGCATAAACAGCTAAAACTTTTGAATTTAAGGTTTTCAATTATTGTACAGGTTGTTCAAGATATACATTGAAAAATTAACAACTGTCTTAAATTTGCAGCAATCGACTTCAGATTTTGCATAAAGGTAGAAGGTAGAAGAAGTCCATGTCCGTTTTCCAACTGTTGAAACAGGATTCACTCAAGTATTTGTTTTTAATTTTGAAAAATTTTTTTCGGATATTTTGGCTTCCAGAAAATAATTATTTTCTCCAAAACTATTAATCCGATCGGCAAAATTTGTGAACTAAGAAATGCGGGAGATCTGGGACTATAACTTTTATTTCAGACATTTTTTCAATTATATACGCGGTTTTTTAATTATAGACAAAAATCTAAAAGAAATTGTTTCTTTCAGCATTAAATTATTAGTTGCAAATCAAAATTCGTAAAAAATATGGCTAATCACTTCAAACAGTGTTATAGGCCGTATCAAGAGGTTGAATTTTTGTATTTATAGTTTTCGTCCATCATATACGGTGTCGAGATATTTGAAAAGATCTAGATGAATATTACTATTTCTCGCCCTCAATCTAGACGCGATGACGTCATTTATTATTACGACGTACTGCGCGGTTTCAGAAAACAAATATTTTCTTGAAAATCACTTACTCTATTGGAAAAATTCATATACCAGGAAACGTTGGAGATCCAGGGCTATAACATCTATTTCGAACATTGTTTGAATTACATACAGGGTGTGTCGTTGATGAGTAAAAAATATAAAACATCCTAAAAATTACCATTTTTGTGGATAAATTATTGGGGATAAATGAATTTTATTTGAACAGTATCGAGAGAGAGTTTCAGGTTTCATTAATTATATGGGGCGAGCGAGATATTTGAAAAAATATTATTCGACACGCTATTATTTGTACAAATTTAAATATTTAACAAAGTTTATTGGGACTATGAAAATCGGCGATACGTGAAAGGCACCTTATACAGGGGGTATGTACAATAAAATTACATCGATTTTGCGAAAGTTCCATAGTGGTCCGCAGGAGCACGATAGAAAAACACGTACAAGAAACCGCGAAAGGTTTTCCTTTTGAAATACAAAGCTGCTTCGCACTACAAATTTGCCCCGCCCACCGACGAATTTTCGAAATCAATCTTGTTTTTGCCATTTCATGTTTTATAAACAAAGTTTTGGATGGAATTCGGAAATGTCAGATAATTTATTTAGGTTTTCAGTTTTGTCCCTTTTCGAAATAGGGATGCGAGTCCTTTAAAAGCTATATGCTGAAAAATGGATATGACATTAAAAATATAAAAAAAAATTTGATCGTTTATTAAAAACAAAAGAGAAATCTCAGGTGTACGCATGTATGTATGAATTTTAATGACACTGTTAGAAAAAGACTGTAGATTGTGAATCACAAACTATAGGGCCATTTCCCTTATCTGCAACTTCGTAAAGTTTTAGAAATGTCTCCTACAGGATAAAATATTTCATGTTGTTAAGATGCAAATAATCCACCATTCAATTTAACGATTACGTTTTAGTATATTTCTGAGACTATTAACGAAGGTTCTCAAATTGACGTCATATAGCTAAAAAAGCTAATAAAAAGTTATCTTGATGATCGAATACAGTATGTTGAAACAAGTTTACACCAGCAATTTTGTATCGTGTATGAAATATGTGACGGCATATTTTTATGCTGACGACAAACAGGTATTATATTCATTTGACCCCAGTACGGCCCAGATTTTAAAGAACTAACAGATTTTTCAGCACGTCATGGACCGATAATTAATCCAAGTAAATCATCTGTTATGCTCTTTGGAAAGAATAGGGCTCGTTTGGTGTCTGAACTTAACATAACAGTGAGTAGAGTTTTGCAGTTTACAAATTGTGCAAAAAAATTAAAGTTGCTTTATCCGCATAGCCATTTATTGTCTGAGGCTCAAAAGATTAAATTAACGGATTCTCTAGTATTAAGTTACTTTAACTATTGTGATATTTTATATGGCCCATGCATAGATAAAATTGACACATATAGAATTGAGAGACTACAAAAAAACTCTTTGCGGTTAATTTATGGTATAAGACAATATAATTCAGTCTCACACAAACTGCAGAATGCTAAGTGGTTGAATATGCAGAATAGGGGT